AGCAATTTGCCTTATATATTTATGCTTTGATTATATGACCGGATGAAACAGCCACCCAGTTGGCAAGCGCGCATACTAAGGCATATGTTACCTAAAGGGCGAGGGTTCGAACTAATGTGAATCCCCCTTTTGCATTTTTTCAATTTTCTGATTTTTCTAACATATTTTTGGCAGGCGCTGGGCCTTTTGGGCCTGGCATTATTTATTTTTTTTGCTAGCTTATACCCTCTGTTTGCTTGTGATACCTCCCTGGCCCATTTTTATTTTCATTCATTTATTTATTTTTTTTCTTTTTAAATATATTTTCTAAAATACCAAAAAAATCATAAAATGAATAAAAAATGTAGATTTATATTTTGACATAATTTAATTATTTATTCACATAAAAATTATTTTATTTATCATACTTTATTTACTTGTATTAATTTCCTTGTAAATATTAAAATAAAACTAGGTTATTATTTATTCAAATACACTTATTTTTAGTATAAAAAGGATCAAAAATATTTTATAACACCATTTATTTTTCAAGACAAAAAAAAAATATAAAAAAATTCTTTTTTTATAAACTTCATTTCTTTTTAAGTAGAATTAGGGTTTTTATTCAAGAATCTTTTTCTTAATAATATAAAAATTGACTAATTATTTTCTTTATCAAATTAGGTTAAAATCAAGACCTTTTTCTTTAAAAAAACAAAAAAAAAAAATTTTTTCTTTGCATTTACATTTACATTTAATTCATCTTGCATATTATTTGTTTCAATTATTTGTACAATAATTCAATTTGGTTGTAATAGATAAAATAGGTTTATATTATTGCAATTCTCATTCATAAATTGTATACCCCCTCCCACAAATGTTGTAATAGCGTAGTAACTTTAAATTACGCAATTTATCGCTTTTACATAACATGCTAGTAATTAGGGTTTGTATGGAAAGAATAAAATCAACCAAATAGAAAACCCTAATCCAAGACAAAAACAAGCATGAAAATGACACCCCTTGCACACAAGCACCCCTAGGATTATCCCACTTGGTTGCCTTATAAAAAATAGCCATATTACGCATGTAAGGTATCTTAGCAAAAACAAACAAATACAAGATCATAGTCCCTCGATGACGTTATTCCAAGTTGCCTTACAAATGATCTTAGTCCCTCAAAAAGAATGCTAAGATACTTTGCAACATTGCTAATCATGGCTATACGATGACCCACGTCCGTCCCGTTTACATCCAAAGATAGGGTTATTTACCAAATCAATGGTAAGACAACAATATCTAAGGAAAAGAAAATGAACAAGAAATACATTTGAGTAGGTAGATTGCTCCTAATTACTTGATCCATCTCAAAACAAATATCCTTGCTATTTTCAAAACAATCACACACACTTTCAAAACATCTTACAAAATTGAAAACATTTTTCAAAAGATCAACATATTTGTATACATTCTTACGAACAAGAATCATTACAAAGATTGCCTAAACAATGGACTCTTTACAAAAATACTTTCAAAAACCACATAAAGCATAATTTCAAACAAAAGCAAGTGATCTAGCAAGTAACTAAGAGCCCATGGATAACCATGGATGAAAAGGGTGCTAATACCTTCCCTTTTCATAATCTACCCCCCAAACTTAAGAAACAATCTCAAAGGTTTTTCCTGTGCTTTTTCATATTTCCTTTTTGGATAAAAGAAAAGTCGGTGGCGACTCTTGCTAACCGCAACATTTACGATAAAACGCAAATCCCTCAAGTCAGTTCTCCCACCGTATCACACCCCAGCATATCATACTCTGTCTAAAAAAGGGGGAAAAAGTTTTTGCGATTGTTTGCATGGTACCAAAGTTCCTCAATGATACTCATCAAATGTGAAGAAACTTGTGTCAGAGAATGATCACAAATTAGTTGGCTTAAAATCTCATGATTGTCATGTCTTGATGCAACAACTTCTATCAGTGTCTATCCATGGCATTTTACCAAGAAATATAAGGATAACTATAACAAGATTGTACTTATTCTTCAATGATATACGTATTAAGGTTATTGATCCTAGAAATTTAGATGACTTGGAACATGAATATACAATTATCTTGTGCTAATTAGAGATATTTTCCCCTCCATCATTCGTTGACATTATGGTTCACTTAGTTGTTCATCTAGTAAGGGAGATTGGTCCAGTTTATTTACGATGGATGTATTTGGTAGAGCATTACATGAATATTTTGAAAGGTTATATAAAGAATCATCATCGTCCAGAAGTTTCGATCATAGAAAGGTACATCATAGAAGAAGTTATTGAGTTTTATACAAGCACATTTGATCGAGAAGTAGTTCTTCAAGCATATTTGTATATATTGAATAACCTTCATGAAGTTCAGCCTTACTTGACCGCTCACAAAAGTCTTATAAAGGAAAAATTCCCCCTGGCGAATGAAAAATTGTTGTTGATAGAGCATAAAAAAACTTTCATAACTTGGTTTAATGAAAGTATTTCTAAAGAGAGTAGTGTATCAGATACTTGCAAATGGTTGTCATGTATGCTTAAATTTAATGTAATTACTTGAAGTGCATACGACATTAGTAAGTATAAATTCTATACAAAATAAAAGGATGATCGTAACACCATGCAAAATAGTGGGGTTATGGTTGAGGCTAAATCCATGTAATTTTCTAGTTCCAAAGATAACAATCATGTACTAGCATCTAAAGCGTACTTTGGGGTTATTGAGGAGATTGACTATGTTTCTTTTAAAGTGTATTTATTTAAGTGCAAGTGGATTGACAGTAGCACTGATGTAGAAACTGATGAATTGGGATTCACACAGGTTGATATTCGAAAGGAAATTTATAAGAACGAATCATTCATCATGAAAACCCAAGCAAAATAAGTTTTTTATGTCACTGATCCTTCTAAAACTAGATGGTCAATTGTTCTTCAAGGAAAACATCTTCCTGATAGTACTGGTGAAAATCAAAATTTTAACTATGAGACACCTTGTTTAACAACAAATATACGTCAATCATCTGAAGGAAATGATTCAGATGATGTGCATGTTATTCGTTGTGATCATGAAAATGGGATATGGAAAAACTAGTAACTTAATGATTTATTTCTTTTGTTTCTTAATCATTTGTTTTAGTTTTGATGTAAAATTATAAAGTGTGTGTAATTTTTGGTTTGAATTTGGTGTAATCAATGAATATTTGTGGTATAATGTTTCTGATTGAGAAATTGACAAAATATACAATATTTCTGTTTCAAGAATCTACAAAATATGGTTCTATATTTTGGAATATGATTCTGTAATACAGGTGCAAATGACATTACCAAAAAAACGTATCCCCTCAATTTTTATATAAAACCGAGGTAAGAACATTGAGATATTACCTCGGTTCTATAAAACCCCTAGTGTTAATAATGGGCGCGCCATTCAGTTCTGAAAATAATAAAAATGCAGATGCTGAGGATCAAACTCACATGCAGATAACTTAACCTCTCGACGTTTTAATAACCGAGGTGTTAAGTGACAGCTTTTTATGACGCTGCAATTTGAGTCCTTCGGTACATCAAACTATCTGCAACTCAAGGGCTCTTCTTCTCCCCGTCTTCTCCATTAAAATTTAGTGTCTTCTCTGATTCTAATTGGGCCAGATGTTCCGATATATGAAGGTCCATCCATGGTTTCTACATTTACCTAGGCAGTTCTCTGATTTTATAGAAATCAAAGAAACAACCAAAAGTCTCTCAAAGCTCCACTGAAGCACAATACAGGCAATGGTTTCCACAATTTATGAGCTCGAATTGCTCGCAAACATTTCGAAGAACTAAACATTCCCTTCACTGAATCAGCTCTACTAAAACAATGCCTCTGCTAGACATATTTCGAGCAATTCTTCATTCCATGAATGCACCAAGCATATTAGCTTGGATTGTCATTTGGTTCGGGAAGCATTTCATATTTAAAGAAAATTCCAAGCAATTCACAATCACATGGTATATACTTTAATTAACTTAATTGATCTTCATTGATATCTTTCTATGTTGCAATCTGGAAAGGCAAACCTTGGAAAAGAACTAGACAAAGTTTTGACAGCAGAATCAAGTTTTGGTGAAGGCATGCTTAAGCATTTGAATTAGAAATCTGAACATATGGCCCTTGAGACTATAAATAAATTGGAAATTGTTTTATTTTCATTTAAGTAAAGAACTAGTTAGAACCTCATGGTCATTTGTGAAAGGCACTTTGTCAAAAATAGAAAAAATAATAATTATTGGGTTGTGCCAAAACACTATTACATTTGTTTCAAATCATACACCCCAACCTTCCTCATACAATCCTTGATGCTTCTAAAATTCAATATTGCAAGGTAAGCTTTATAATTTATAGTATGATGCATTTGAAAAATTGTTCTGACTAAAGAAAACATGTTGCAGCTTTTTTGTTATGATTTTATCTGTTTCATTTACTTTTCTACCTTTCTCCTCCCAAATTCTGAAAATCTATGTTATGCTGATTTAGCTTAACTATGGTTTTAGTCCCTTTAATTTGGGTTATCAATTGTTTTTGTCTTTCAAAGTATTCCATTGATTTATATCTTTATTTCTTTAGGATATTGGACAATTCCATTTTAAGAGCTTATGGCAACACCAAGCAGGAGTAGTGTTTGGTGCATTAATGGAGAAGCCATTCTAATATGATATTGCATTTCATCAATAGTTGTAATTTGTAAGGGAACTGAAATACATAACAGATGAATGAAGATAAATATGGAAGAAGTATCAATTCTCACATTATTGATTTAGAAAGCAATACAACAATTATTATTTATTGCAACTAGTATAGGTTGCAAACAAATATACATTGGACACAAACACACAAAATCAAATGCTGCTAACATAATTCAGTGAATAACAAAATAGTAAACTAAGCATTGCCACATAAGTAGCTTTCAGCGAAACCATTCAATTACTCAACAATAGTACATCAAGTTGAATTATCAATTATAAGTGCGAACACCTACAATTTAAATAGAAAAGATATCCATTATTATCAATGTATTTTGTAGTTTAGTAATTTTGAAATGCACACTATGATGATAAAAAAACAAATTATAATTCCATAAGAAGTTATGAGTTAGTAATGATTCAGATAAACACATAAAATATAAATTTATCTCACCAGTGAGAAATTTTTGTCTGATTATGCAGTTCTTTAGTGACATCCACAATAGTCATCCGTTCCTATGGTTGTTCTATTGAACAATTAAGTCCAATCCTAAAAAGTGAAACTAGGCGCTCCTCAACGGTTGGATTAAAATTCTCACAATTTCCATCTTGTGTTTCTACTCCTGCATATCTTGATACAAGACCCGGTTCCAATATGTTCATAATATTGTTAGGAAACAAATTTGGGACAAAGTTATGCAGATTTTGGCCATCTTCAAAAACTTCATTTGTGGGTCTTCTACCAGTAAGTATTTCCAACAATAGGATTCCAAAACTATACATGTCACCACATGTTGACACTTTAGAGCCCATTCCATAGTCTAAAACATGAAGCAAAAGTAGTTAATATTGTATCACTAATAAATTATTAAGTGTGCACCAAAACATGGGAGAGTCCAAGAAAACAATACAAGATTCAAGAATTTAGATCATGCCTGGAGGAGCATAGCCAACAGTTCCTATTATAACAATTGTACTTGTGTCATTATGAGCACTACCATCAACGTTTGAGACAAGTCTTGCTATGCCAAAATCACTCACATGAGCAATCATCTCATCGTCAAGAAGTACATTACTTGGCTTAAATGAATAATCGACTGCTCACATTCTTGATGAAGATAATGTAATGCCGAAGCAACATCGGTAATGATATTGACTCTACGAGCAAGGTTCAATGTTGTTTGATTTTTTGCATTTAAAATCTCAGAATGCAACCATTGTTCTAGGCTTCCATTTTTCATGTAATAAAAAACTAGAGCTTTAAATTCTTGACCTTTAGAATCTGAACTAGAACAACATGTTATAATATTAACCAAATTTCGGTGTCTAATATTTTTGAGTGCATTGCATTCAAGAATAAAACTCTTGTTAGCTCCCTTCTTTTGGAGATTCAGAACCTTTATGGCAACAAAATTGTCTTCTGACACAAGATTTCCTTTGTACACGAACCAAAACTTCCTGATCCAATTAAGTTTGTAATTGAGAATCCATCGGTTCCTTGATGTAAGTCTCGATATGAAACCTTTTCTAGTTGATCAATTATCGGTGAATCAAAAGATCGTTTTTGGTTTCTTTTCCTCATCCAATAGACAGTTAGAAAAATTGAAAGTGTGAGAAGAAAAAGCACACCAACAACTACCAACATGAACTTATGGTGTTTTGTTTGTTTCATATCCTTGACGGAGCATGCTGGTAAAAGCATCTGAGAAATGCCTCCACAAAGCTTATTGTTTTCAATCATTACTACTTGGGTTGCATTTCTAAAGACACCATATGTTGGAACCTCACCTTCCAACACGTTAAAGGAAACATTTAAGTGCTTTAGACCAGAGATATTTTGTAGAACATCAGGAATCGATCCAGACAATTGGTTTTTTGAAACATCTAAATATTGAAGACCTTTGAGAGAAGCCAATGAGGGTGGTATTGTTCTGTTGAAGGAGTTCTCTTTCAAAAGAAGATATTTTAACACTACAAGAAAATTGTCTTGTACCGACGGACGGAATCCGTCATTATAAGTTATTTTCCCGTCGGTAAAAACCGAATTGTAAATCACCGACGGGCTTGCTGAAAGTGCACTATACTCTGGTACTAGCATCGGATTTTTGCGTGTTAATATTTCGCCCACAGACAAATACCTTCACCTACGGTTCTTGTTGTCTGTCACTATTTCTCTTAACATTTTTAGCTACAACATGTGACCGTAGGTAAAAGTTGTAACCTTAAAAATAACTTTTTGGAAATCCTACACATTTTTTCTCATTATAAATAAATATTAATTAATATTTAAAATCATTAATAGCATTCATATCCATATTATTTAAGACAATTGACAACTCATTCATATTGTTAAAAGCAAATACGATTTACGCCAGCTCAAAATGATAATTTCATTCTTGATTAGAACACATTCCCGCATACATAACTAGGTTCATAAATATTAATACTTAACCAATTATGAACAAAAAAGATTAAAAATATGTCCACAGTTATAAAGCTAACTGAATTGAACAACATAATTTAATCTCTAAACAAATTTTGAACTTAAAAAAGCATCAAACAGAGTGAACTGATGATCAGCTGAATGAGAATTTTGCTCTTCCAAGACCATAAATGAACAAAACCAAGAACACTTAAGATCAATAGTCAATAATGAATACCTCACCCTTCTTCATAGTCAATACAACTTCATCAAGTCCATTAATGACTTCTCTGTATCAAGTTTCAGCACATCAAACATTCACATAATATTAAGATAAGGAAAGATTATGAAGTATGTAGTCACACGTCTTACATTAAGGTTTTACTAATAAAATCACTTTCTGTCCCTTCATGGTTTTAACAGCCTTTGAGAATGGAGGGCAATAATGACCTATTATAGATTAAATGTCAATTTCAAACACCTACAAAAAAAATCAAAATTGTCTTTTATCAAAGTTTCTAGACATTGACCCTCACTGATAGTGAACTCCACTCCATCATAATTTGCTATCTCTTACTGACAACTAAAAATTCTTCCACAAGTGCACCATTTAGTCTACCTACTGTTGATTTTGAAGCTAAAAGAGGATTAGCCAAGGCACCAGAAAAAACAGGCGAATGAATTGCAGATAAGCAGGCACAAATATACTAAGAAAATAGCATACGTGTAAAGGAGAGCTCCAAGTCGATCACCAAAAGTTATCTTCACCACAGTTGTATTTGGATCAAAGTCTTGGTCAATTATAAGTTTATAACGGTATCAGTCTTGCCTTGATTACCATCCTGTTCTCCGCAGAAAAGAAAAAAAATTTAACCAATCAATAAGCATAGTCTAGAAGCATTATAGAAATGAATTATTGGCTGTGATCATTAATACATAAAAAGACAATCACATAAGTTGATCACGCAATACCTACACATCAGTAACAGGTGTTGCTGCTCGAGGGATAATTTTCGTGACAATGCTAATTTAATTAAGGGAAAAGAACATAAAAGAGAAGTTAGATACCTTTATTTTGCCTTATGCTGATGATACATTGAGCAAATGTTGTTTTAACTGAAAAATAAGGAATAACAAATGTAAATATCTCAAAAGAGACTACAGTTTCAGTTTTGTTTGGCATCATTCACTAGTGTAGAAAGCAACAACAAACATATAAAGATAAGAAAACAGTTTTTGGCACACTTACCCATTCATATTCCTTCAGAGCATTAGTATCATGCTCTCTTGAGATTGAAGAAAGTTGTTAATGTGTTCTTAGGTTTGAGTTGAAGCATCGGATAATCCATCGGCTTTGTAGATATTATATCCAGTCAACACCGGATAATCTACCAGCTTTGACAATCACTCTTTCCATCACTAAACTTCGGAGAAACATTGGAGTAACTGGAATGCTATTGTCTTGGAGAAAGCTCATCTTCTTGAGAGTTTCTACCTTCTCTTTCGTTCATACAAGAGGAAGAAGCCTTGTCGTGGCTCCTACATTAAACTAGCTCTGACAATCGCTTTAAACTCTATAGTTTCACATTGCTAATAGGGGTAATCCGGTCTGCGAGTCAAAATTGAAAATTCATAATGCGTAAGGTTTAGTAAAAGCAAAGTGTAAAGATAAAAATGTAGGTCGCACTACACAGTAAGATGTTACACACATAAAATCATTCATAATAAAGGGTCTCGAGATTCTTACATTTATTTTAGGATGCAATATTTTTTTTAATAATGTTTTATGTGTCTTAGAGTTCAAGGCTTTCCATATCCGAACATTTTTTGTCATGTTCATAAGGTAAACGACATACAACTTCTGAGTTTCATTATCCATTGTCAGATTCAAAAAAATTGTTGATGCATTTGGATGAAATAACCTGGATTTCCTCATCAAGTTCAAATTTTGGACCATGAAAAAAAGCAATATGGTATGGTCTCTTAGGTGGGTTCAAAGGAAGTTGTAATACTGAGCAAAGGAAAATTAGTAATCCTTGAAGCTTATTTGAACACAACAATTGAAACTCCTACAGCCGCAAGTTCCACAGGCCCTAAACACATAAAAAAAGATGAAAAATTAGCTTCAAACAATGCACGTAATTAAAATGATCATTGTCACGACTTCAAATAGGATTATAGTATAAAATCATGATCTAGTGATAAGAAAAACATGTGTAACTGTTGTACCCCAAAATTTTCCCTCTCATTTCTCAATACATTCCCCCACAAGATCTTCAATAACTCAAGCTTGTACAAGGATTAACTAGGCCAAGACATCTCCTCAACACTGATATCTCAAGATTAGGATTTGAGTCTGCTCAGTCAATTGATCAGTTGACCTAAAATCAACTGTATTGGGCAAAAAGTCAATTGTGGTCAATTCACAGTTATTTTTGATGCATATCAACATGTTGAACTCATATATGTCAATTGGTTAAGTTTGGATCACAATTCATCAAGAAATTTGATCAAATCACAAAAAGGACAAAATAGTCAAAATTAGGGTTTTGACTGAGAAGACTTGATTTTGGACTTTCAACCCAAATACACGACTTGATGGTTTGAGACATGATATCAAGAATCCAAATGTATCATTTTGACCTAATGGCATAGTTCAAAACATTTCTCAAGATCAATTGATTGATGGTTGAAATTTGGTCAACTGATGAAAAAGTCAACTGATACACTAAAAAGTCAAACTTTGACTTTTTGATCAAAATCAAGTTTCAAAAATCATATTTCATCAAGACATGTCAAAGTATGAATATTATTCATCAAGAAATCAAAAGTCAAGATTACTTTAGAAAAAGTCAAAGTTCTAAACACTTAGAAATTTTTCTAAGTGTTAAAAACTTTATGATAATTTCATAACTTTGGGCCAGATTTTCACCATGATGCAAGATGGTTCAAGGAAAACTTCCAACGTGAAAGTTGTAGATCTCAATAAGATAAGAAAAATTGTAGGACAGAACTTCTTCTAGAAATTCTTGGATTTCAAGTTATAAATCCATGAAGACATGTCCATGAAACTAAAACACTTAGTAAAATTCTAGGCATTTTAACTCAGAATTTTGACAGAACTTCTGGGCCAATTTTCATACAGTTACAATGGGAGTTTGCAAAAGTGATTCAAAGAGGGATTGTATAGCATGTTACAAGCTTTCTAAAAATTCAAAGAACTCTATCAGATCATGCTGGAGCAGGGAGAATCGAAGATCAGAAGTTGGACATTCGTTCTTAAATTATGAGTCATTTTCATGATGAACATCTGATCCAATTCCAAACAATGCTGCATAATCCCACTTTTCAGGCCCTCTAGCATGTGTATATATCCTTAATCAGAAGATTACATGAGCTTTTGAGCTATAAACCACTTGATTTAAGCTTTGTCCAATACACTTTGTCATTTAAGGAAGAAAGTTCACACTTCCATTCTGGAAAAGTGACTTTAATCACAAAGTCCACTCTCCTTGAACTTTGTGTTTGTTCTTTCTGCACAAGCATCCCGTACAAACTCAAAACAGGTGTGTCTGAAATTTCCAGCCACCCTACTTTGCCTTGAAACCATGTTTGTCTAAGCTTGCTTCAAAAATAAGTCAAAATCCACAACATGTGATTTTGTACTTTTGACTTCACCAAGCTTCCAAATCCTTTGCCTATAAATTAAACCTTCATTTGCAAACTTAAAGAGGATTTGGACAAGCCCTTAAACTCACTAAAATTCCCAAGAACCAGAAATTGGAACACAAGCACGAAAACTTGTCATTTCTGATTTTTGAATCCAATCTCCAAAATCCCTCGTGTGTTTCTTGGCCAAGCCATCCACAAAGTTTCTGATACACATATAGAAGTTATCCCAACCTCTGTTTTCAGACTATAACATCATTTTCACCAACCTCCATTTTCAAAAACAGAGCATTACATCTTGACTTCTCCAGAACATTCCAGCCATCCATAGCTCAAGCAAACCACCGCATTAGCTTCCTGGGAACTTGATGAAGCTAACCAGATCATCACAGCAACTTGAATCAAGCTCTAGTTTAGAACATAATCTTCATCTGCAAGGTAAGTTCTTCTGATTTTCATCTCATTATTTAGGCATTGTTAGACTTGCATTTTCAAAGACAAAATGTAGATATCATTGCTCTGAAACTGTACATATCCATAGATTTTATTTATATGACTTGAGTAGAGAGAATTTAGGATCAGAACTTATTGAAAAATTAGGGTTCAGATTAGGGATAGAAAAATTCATGTTTGATTCTGATTTATAGTTCTAATGCTTTATAGTTCTGGAACCATGATGAATTTTGCCATAACTTTCATGTTTACATTTTCCATTTTGGTTGAGAAATGAATGAGTTGCAGATGATCTGGCTGGCGCGAGGAAGAAGATGAAGTTCATCATCAGAATTTATCTTGTAATATATATTTGTGGTTTTGTTTATAATACCGGATGTATAGCCACCCCAGTGGTAGAGAGCGCGCATGTAAGGAATTAGTGTTAAGGATCCTGGGTTCTAGCCACATGAGCGCCTTTTGTTCTTATTTCTTAAACATTTTACCCCATGCACCTGTTAACAACACGCCTAGGTCAGAACTTCTAGGTTATCTCATTTCCATTTACCTGTTAA